TAAATAAAATGTTATAAGAAAATTTAAATAAAGTATTCTCGTTTCTTTCTTGAGATAAGAGATTCAGGAGACTAGCTCTTTCATACACGACGAAATCCGCTCGATTTTCTTTTTTTTTTTTTTTTTTTTTTTTTTTTTTTGACTGAAAAGTGGCATTAATTTTTTATTATTTGATTAATTTATATTATGCTGAAAAACATTTTACTTCTACTATCTATTTATTTTATATCTACTAAAAGTAGATAAAGAAAATTAAGAAATTAATACCGCCTTATATTTAAAAAAAAAAAAAGACGAGAAAAGTTTATTAACTCCCCGAATCACTTAATTATGAAAGAAAACAAGGAAAAAATAGAATTATTCTTTCAAACAAAAGCTTGCATAATACTTTATTTGGATCAGTTTTGTATATTCTCCTACGTATAGCGAAAAGCATAATTGAACCATTGACAATGAGAGATTGTCAATAATTGAAGCATTTAATACAAAAGTGATCTAAGTCAATTTTTCGCCAATTTCGCACATTTCGAAAGTTTAAACTTCATTCTGTTTAAATTAGAAAGTAGAAATTCTATTTAAATTAAAGTAGAAATTTCCATTTAAATCAAAGTAGAAATTTTGTAAAGTACAACTTCAGAATAGTTCACGTAAAAGAGACGTAACGTTGTTCGACACTACTGCATTTTACGAAATTTTTACACTTCATAGCTTGTTATCCAAAAATGAGCTGTTTTGTTTTACACTTTTACGTTAAATGGCTCGATTTAAACTTTCAATTTGAACGGGAAAAAAAACGAATCATAAAACGCTCCATTTGATCTCATTTTAAACATAAAGATGATTTCACATCGTATATTTTTTTGTAGAAAATTGTAATATTTACATTTTTGTAAGTTTCACTATCATTTTAGAGATCGAACTCTCTTTTTTAAAAGAATCTCTTTGAATGCGATTTTTTTACCATTTTGTTAAATCTTAAATATTGAAGTTAAATGAAAGAATTCGCCATTCAATTTCAGTATCAAAAATTCTATAAAACAGAAGAAAAAGTCGTATAGAAAGTTTTGAAAGGTCGCTGTAAAGAGAGGACTTCAATCTTGAAAATCATGGTGGATCTAGCCTCGCGTAATTTTTTATAATAAGATTTTCTATGATATTAAGAAAATCAATAAATTTAATAATATATTAACAATATTAAGAAAATTAACATTTTCTATAATATTAAGAAAATCAATAAACTTAAAAATATTTTAATAATATTAAGAAAATTAACATTTTCAATAACATTAAGAAAGTCAATAAATTTAATATTTTAATAATGTTATGAAAATTAACATTTTCTATAATATTAAGAAAATCAATAAACTTAATAATATTTTAATAATATTAAGAAACTTAACATTTTCAATAACATTAAAAAAGTCAATAAACTTGATAATATTTTAATAATATTAAGAAAATTGACATTTTCTATAATATTAAGAAAATCGATAAACTTGATAATATTTAAATAATATTAAGAAAATTAACATTTTCTATAATATTAAGAAAATCAACAAACTTGATAATATTTTAATAGTATTAAGAAAATTAACATTTTCTATAATATTAAAAAAATCAACGAATTTGATAATATTTCAATAGTATTAAGAAAATTAACATTTTCTATAATATTAAGAAACTCAACAAATTTGATAATATTTTAATAATATTAAGAAAATAAATTTAATAATATTTAAATAATATTAAGAAAATTAACATTTTCTATAATATTAAGAAAATCAATAAACTTGATAATATTTTAATAATATTAAGAAAATTAACATTTTCTATAATATTAAAAAAATCAATAAATTTTTTTAATAATATTTAAATAATATTAAGAAAATTAACATTTTCTACAATATTTAAATAATATTAAGAAAATCAATAAATTTAATAATATTTTAATAATATTAAGAATATTAATATTTTTTACAATATTAAAAAAATCAATAAGTTTCAAACTGATCACCATTGACCGCCTACCATTTGCGTTCCTCCTCGACCTGTTCGCGTTTCTCGTTTCTGGCAAACTCCACTAAATTACGAAACAATTTAATCACGGTCCAGAACAGTGTCTTCCCGAAGCACGACGTGCCGTGAACTAATTTTTCACCGCGCCAACAGAGTGTCTGCCCGGCAAATTGATAGCTTCCGCGTTTTCCAACCACGATTTCCCGCGCGCGATCATTAAGATACACGAAGGGTTGGAAGCGTGACGGTTTGGGGAAAAAAAAAAATTTGAGAAAAAAGAAAAAAGACGAAATATTCCTCTCGAATATCCCCTTTTTCCTATGCCGCGGTGCTTCGCGGCCGTACCAGCTGACCTAACTTGTATTTCCAAACTCTCTGGATCCTGGCAGCGTGCCTAACGACGCGACCGCTTAATGACCAGGAACTTGCAGCACCGCACGCTCGAGAGGGAAATCGAAGCCCCGAGAGCAAGAAAGTCGACGCGCTAGAGTACGATCGACACACTCGAGAGAATTTGGATCCACGGAACGGGTCAAATTTAATCTACCGTTAGCCGGAGAGTCCGACGAATCGCAAATCGAATCTTCCTCGTTTGCCGTTGACCTCAAAGCCTTCGGGCCAGACCCGGAGATTCCTCTGGATAGTTTGTCGAGTTTCTCTATACTTGGCGACTGTTATTGAATATCTCGACGAAAATCGATCGAACTCGTACGGATTGTCATTGGTTTTCGATTCCTTCAATCTTCTTGCGTTATTGTAATTCATTACGTCGTATCGGATTTTAAAGTACTGAGACGTTGTATAGAAGATTATTTTCTGATTATAGTGATAGAATTTGAAGATCAATAAATACGAATTATCACAGGTTTCTAATATATCGGGAAAGAAGGTGATTTTGCTCGTGAATTCATAGACATGCGAAAAGGAAGCCACCGCTGGCTTGACGACAATAAAAGGATGTGGGAATGAAGAGTACGAATGGCCGGAGAGTATAAAAGCGGGGAGACAAAGTCTAAAGAGCGCGGAGCGCGGACACGCTCCAGGTCATCGGAAGTACGAGAATTTTCGGGGACGAAAGGAGGAAAAAGGAAAGTGGGTGGATGAGAATTTTCCTCTAAAGAAAAAGAAAGGAAGGAAGTTTAAAAAAAAAAAAAAAAGAAGAGAAAGAAACGTACGAACCTGCCTCCTTGTCTCTGTGTGTATGTTGTACATATGCGTGTGTAGGCGTGTGTGGTTGATGCAAATGGCAAATGGAAAAGCACGTCTGAATGGTTACGTGTGATCTAAGCGCGAGAAAGGGAGAACATTGGTAAATGATAAGAAATTGCTCAGAAAAATGTACGTCATCGTCAATCGGAACAAAGACTATGGAAGATGACAGGTTACACGCGGAAAGAGATCTTGTGAATTTGCCAAAGAAGTTTCAGATTTTTTGAACAATGTAGACGAGATCAAATTTGTTGAAACATTGTCATTGCCATGAGTGTTACCTCGTGTGTGACATATTTAAAGAATTGTTTCAATAATATTTCTTTTGCTGTGATTTAGAAAATTTTCTATGCCTGGAGAAACGTGGATTTAAAAGTAACGTCGTAAAATTTTTAAATGAAATTAATATGTACATTTATTTATGATTCCTTAAGTAATAGGCTGTAATGATTGTATGAATTTGCGATATATCATTTTGATTCCATTCTTTGACAACTAATAGATAGATTGTGTAATATTCGATTTTCATTTATATGGAATATAAAATTCAAAAAGTAGAAGCTGAAAGAATAAGCAAAAGTGTTAACAAAGAATAAATTTTGCAGATCTTACAAATTTAGTGGTTTAGAAGTGTCTTTAATATACTCGTATAATGTAAATATATCTTTAAATAATACAAATAATAATGTTAATCTGTATATGTTTAATTAAATTCTTGAATAGATATTTGCGAAACTATTTCTGTACGTTGATTCGTATAGATTCTATTTGTCCGACAAAATTATGAAAGCACAAACTACAAATGAAAATAAGAGAAAAATATTATATGAAGCTTGTTCATATACACTTTGTCAGAAAGTAACAGTGAAGTATTGAATATGTGCGTAGCAGCAGATTCGAAATTTGGTTCTCACTCTTTAATGTCTACTTATATAATTCTAAACAAAACAATTAATTCAACGAATAAACAAAGGAATTAATTCGACAAATTAATAATTCTTTTATCGGGATGTAGCAAAATTCTCAAAAAATACAAAATGTAATAATAAATTATTGCAGAAGAACTCATTGAATATTTAAATTTCCAATGATCCTCGTGCATTAAAAAATATCTGTTAAATACAGACACATTCAAGCAACGTTCAATATTTGCCTATAATTTTCTAACAAAGTGTTCACAAACAAACTTCATATAATATTTTTCTTTATCTTCACTTGTAGATTATGCGCCTGCGATTCTGTTGTATATTTTGCACACGAGGTTCCTTCATGACAAAATTCACATCAAACTCAATCAAAATCATTGCTCAGGTCACATTATGGATGACACGATTAAAAACTGAGAAGACCGATAAATTTACTCTTTCCAAAACGTTAGCATCAATATTATATACGTGAAAAGACAAAAGAATCCAGATTCGACAGAATATACCTCGTGAATATTTCATGAAATGAACGATTCGTACTGCGAAAGCACGATGTACGAAAGCAGAATGGCGTTCATTGACTGTAACATTACGGTTGAAGCTCGGAGCTCCAAGCGGAAGGAGGAGATCCTCTAAAAATTCAGATCTCGCGGATCATAAAAGTCACGTTGCGATCCCTCTGAATGCCAGCATTTTTCTGAGCGTGGAATGTAGCGTGTCACGTGTATGCGAACGGGTCAGGATCGGGGTGTAAATGAACGAAGAGGGCAGGCGGCACAGTCGTTGGAGCAAGCTGAACGTGAGAGGGAGGATAAGAACGGAACGAAAGAAGGACGAACGAACGAGAGGAGATATAGGAGGAGAGAGAAACGAAAAAAGAGAGAAAGAAAGAAAGAAAGAAAGAAAGAAAGAGAGAGAAAGAGAGAGAAAGAGAGAGAGAGAGAGAAAGAAAGAAAGAAAGAGGAGAAAGGCTCCGGCGGGGGCCGCTCGTCCATGAACCGAGGACACTGATCACATCCTCCTTGGACTGATCGGCTCTTTTTTCTCGCTTCCTGATCCGTAGGTACGTCTTCACGATAGTCAGCTACCTGATCGGCGTCTTCATATTCGCGACGATCGTCGGACAAGTCGGGAACGTGATCACCAATCGAAACGCAAATCGGCTGGAGTTCGAGAGATTGCTAGACGGCGCCAAGACTTATATGAGACACCATAAAGTGCCGGGTGGCATGAAGAGGCGGGTGCTCAGGTGGTACGACTACAGTTGGTCACGAGGAAGGATACAAGGCGGCGGTGACATCAACACCGCGCTTGGCTTACTTCCGGACAAACTGAAGACCGAGTTGGCGTTACACGTGAATCTGTCCGTACTGAAGAAGGTTACCATCTTTCAGGTGAGTTTTTTGTTTTGGATTTTGTTTTCAACTACTTCTGCTCTGTTGTTGCTGGCGAATGAGCGCGATGAGATGACTTTGTGTTTATTGTTAGCGGTAAATATCGAAAGATAGTTTCGAGTGTCGTTTGAAGATGAGCATAGGAACTGAAACGAAAGGTCAGTATCTGCGTTGCAAGAGTGGCTTTTATCGTAATGAAGAAAAGTAGGTGATTCCGTCGCAGATAGGAATATAGTAATAAGCAAAATGATTTTAAAAAATGTTATCGGGTTATATGTAGCTACATGCAGGATGTAGTTGAATGATGTGTCGAGCGGGTAGAAAGTGATTCCTTGTGAAGAGATAAAGAACAAACTTCTTGATTTAAGACTTCGTTTTCGAAAAAATTGAGTTTGATGATTTATCGAGTATATTTGAATCTGACATTCAAGACGTGACAGAAAGGAACAATTAATAGAAGTTCGGTATGTGAATATAAGTAAAAAATGTAGAAAATTGAGTTTGAAAATTTATCATGTGTATTTTAAGCAGTTTTTAATGAAACATATTCAAAGTCTATTTTCTTAAAGACGAAGTTTTAAGTGAAAAAATTTTATTCTACATTTTTTATTTATTTTTGCACATAGAATAATCCCCTGTTAATTATCTTTTTCTCGTTTAAAATTAATTAAACTCAAGTATAGTAGGATTCAACTAATTTTCAAACTTTTCTCGAAAACGAAATCTCAAATAAAAAAATTTTATTCTACAATTTTTTCTTATTTTTTCATAAAAAAATCACCTTTTAGTTGCTTGACTTATTATTCAAATGTATATATAGCTATATATTTATAATTATTCATATACTTATGATATCAATATACACGCAGATGAAAAAAACTCTATTTAGGGTAATAATAGTAACAGTCTTATTCAGGATAGTAATAATAATAATGATTAAATATTAAATGTAAAATTTTGTTTGAAAAGTATTGAAAGAATGTAGAATGACACTCATTTACAAAATGCTGTCCATGTGCAAAAGCGTAAATCATATTTCAAATTTTTCACATTTATCTATCTATGCTTACTTAATTTGTTGAATTGCAAGGTTTTCAATAATCATATAACATATCTTTACACATGAATATTTTATGAGAACATAACGCAAGACATTTTATAATGGATAGCAAATTATTCATTTTGTTTATCTTTAAATTTATTGATGGATAAACGATTCGAATAAATAATTCTTCAATTGCACAACGTTTAGTGGTATGATTTTCAATTTCGAAAGTATTTTTAATCAAAACGTTGAACCATAGTACGAAAGGAACGCTATGATTGTGTGAATTATTGGTAAATTCCCCCATTTCTCTTGGAAATAGTAGAAGTAATCCTAATAATAAAGACGTTCGGGATGCCAACGTGACTATTGATTTGTACTCAATATTCCGCATTCGTTTCTACCATTTAAGTTATTAAAAGACTATTTATCTAATTGCAAGTGATAGAAATTTAAAAATCAATATATTTGGGGGAGTTATAAGTTACTAATATATTTACAACATTTAAATTACAGGATTTATATTCTATATTAATATACATATCAATTAATATACATATATAAAAACCTGGGATAAAGTCAGAATCTCAAAATGAAATAACTCTGAACTGAATATAATTATAAAAATCAAAGCAATTCTTTCATTAAACAATGTTATAATTATATTAAATTATTAATTTATTAAAACAATTCTTTTATTAAACAATATTATATTAATATTATAATATTAAATTTTAACAGAAAAAAAATTTTTTAAATGACGATAATACATTAAAGTATTATTTATTTTATGGTCTGGGTAAAACTCAATACCCTCTAATATCTGAAATATTGGAATTTTTCCAAATTTTTAGATCTCTAACCAATGCATCCTTCGCACATTAGACCCAACTTTCGTTCAGTCTGGATACATAAGATTCCTGGCAATAAGAATATTATCTTTATTAATCAAACAATATTGGAAATACTGTTTTAATATTTTCTTGATAAATTTGTAATATGAATACATCTTATCCAAAACCAGATATTCAATTTTACCTCTTTTACTTTTGTGAATAGTATAAATTTCTGAGATTACCATGACGAATTGTAAACCATTCACACATTTGTATTTTAATATGTGACAAATGAAATAATTCATATTAAAAGGTACTTAGTTTAACCAATAATTATAAAGTTTATAATTGATTGAAAATTAGATCACAGTGCACAAAAAAAAAACAGAAAGTGTTATAGCTAGACTGTGTTGTGTATACTTTTATGCAAAATCCTATATATTTGAGAATATGATTAAAAAAATAGAATCTAGGTAGAAAATTATTTTATGCAAATATTAATAAAAAGTACTTTGAATATTTTATATATTTTTTCATGTCATATGCATTTGTATACATTTGTATTAATTTGAAGTTGGAATTACGCGGGAATTTAAACTGTTTTAAAAACAATGGAGAATAATTTAGTTATATACCCGGTTCCCTAAAATATAATTTACATAACTTTTGTGATTTCCTCACTAATTGAAAGAAAATATTTTACATAATCTCTTTAATTATCTACGCTAAATGAACTAGACTATCTATCTGCGCTAAAGACAATTTTTTTATACATGATAATTTAACATAAATATCGAAATGATAATTTCCTTTCATGCATGGAATCTAGTGGAAAGTCATTTCATAAGACTTAGTGTTCCTTTACAAAAGACACATCACCGGCCTTTCGCCATATAGGTTCCTCGATCATAGAAAGACGAAAATAAAATAAGAAGATATTTCAGCTTAGAAGAACCGTATCTAGTATCTTTTTGTTCCTACTTTACTTTCTTTCCTTTCTCTCCCTCTGCATTGCCTTCGTAGTATTGACAGTGCGCCGAGGTGATCGATATAAATGGTATGTGTCATATATGTAGCTCAATTTATATTATATACATGTGTGTGTGCATAAGAGGCGTGTCCAAGGCAAAAAGATTTTGCCTTGATATAGAAATATTTGTTCATATTAAAAAAAAATAGTACAATGATAATATATTTTCACAACGAATAACGAAATCTTATCTATATCTTATAAAAAAAAGAAAAAGAAAACAATTATAATATAAAATACAATGAAATATAAAACACAATTTAAAAATAAACAATATAATAAAAGTGAAGTATAATAATATAATCCTTAAGAAATCTTATGTAATTTAGGTAGTAAGTTATATACTTAAACATACTATTATTTGAAATAAAAAAAAAAAATTGTAACATATTGCAAATATTATATGTTCATTTAAAATAATAGTAAATGTTTTAAATAGACGTGATATAATGCCAATATTAGAAAAAGTAGAAACTCTCAATAATAAATCTTGTCTTAAATCTAAATTTCCATAAAGGGAAATTAGGGCTTAATGTATTTTTTTTCAATTAATTTTCATATTTACTTCAGAAATTTAACTTTTAAAAAAATTTTAATATATTCATTTCGCAATACTTTAATTTGTTATATTAAACTGATTGACATATTAAGTTGATTGAATTTTGAAATAGGTATATTTACATTTTGAAAAAGTTTATTTGTAATATTATGAAAGTAAAAAAAATGAAACTTAATCTTAATAAAAGTTTTCTAATTAATTATATTTTTATAATAATTTAAATAGAATCATCAAATAAAATAGCGCACGATTGCATATTAACTTTGACATTTATATATTTTTTTTGACATCGAGAATCATAAATATTTTTATTTAGATACTTTACAGTTTATATTTACAGACAAATAAAATGTGAAGCATTTAAAAACTAAAAGTTTTGAATGTAAAAATTCAGACATCCAGTATATGCATTGTAGTAGAAGAAGCAGAATTATTACAGTTCGTTAATTAACACATAATAAATTTTCTCTGCAATTTCATTATATTTACTTTTCATAGTTATTAATTTCCGATTTAATATTAATATGCAATATTGAATCAATAATATGCAATAATGATCAATAATTAATTATCATATTGGTACATTTGTCCATCTGACATTTTGATTTAGATAAAATTAACGTTAAAATATCGTACCTTTGCAAAGAAAGTGACTCGTCTTAAAAAACGATTGATTTTCAAGTAATCACTATAAAAATGTTGTGGAAATAGTTCTTGATCAATTATGAAAATTTTATTATTTATATTTCATAATTTGGCCATTAGAAAGTGTTGATCTTTCTGACACTGTGCTATATTTTATAAATACTTATTGCTGTGAATTAAAAAATTCTAAATATCACTATGAATAAGTGCATATTAACAAGGTAAGAAGTGTATTATTTTGTTTTTGTAATTAACAAAATAATATTTGATTCTGTTTAAAACCAGTTTCTCTTAAAAAACATATTTCTCTCACGTGTGTCACTTTCTTCACAAGAATGCTATATATACAATCCAAACACTTTATCGATCACCTTTAATGACAATTCCAGTTTAATTCAATATGTTCAAGCATGACTTCCCGCACGACTCCGGGGCAACTAGTCTTGTAATGGCTCTAACCCTCTAAGTGCTTATAATTAATATTGAGATGATCAACTAAGCGCTATCTAAGTGACTGTCTTAATCAATGTTAAGCATGTTTAAGTATACGTAATGATTCTTATTAAAAGTGTCATAAATTTTATAAAAGAATATTGGCATTTTACAGGAGTTTGAACTTTAAGAAAATATTTTATTTGAAAAAATAATTATTTATCGTATTTTTGTTTTTGTCTAGCTATGGAAGATAATTGCAATTTTATTGAATTTTAATATCTTCATATTTTATTTATTTATCTTCATATTTTTCTATACCATTATTTATTTTGTATTTTGAAAATTTGAATATCTTACTTATTAATAATATTGTTTATGCGTATTAATTGCTGACACAAGAGATTTATTTAATGTAAACTATGCAGAGATAAATTGTTGCTACATAGCTAA